TAGCTACAACAGATTAAACCAGCTTTTTCACAAGTTGTGACCTTCACAATGTCCACCACTCTAAAGCCAGTTAGCCTAACAGGAGCAGTTCTCCTTCCACTAAGTTACATTCTTAAATGCAAGGAGAGCATTTTGCGATAGCTACACCAGGAAGCGTTTAGCATTAATACGGAGTCAGGGTCATCCATGGGGAGGGGTCCAAAAGTCAAAATGGCAACCCTGACTGCATGCCTGGAATAACTTTTTTTTTTTTTTGAACTGGCCCCGTCTTCATTCCCTGAAGATGCTTTTCATGGAGTCTCAAACAACTCTCTTCCAGCCCAGCATTCTACAATTTCATTTTGCTTGAAGTGCCTATTCAGGTTTTAAATTTACATATATTTGGAGTAAATTTGGAAGTTGTTTCTGTATTTAGTGTATGGCAAATTTGGAAGTTGAAGAACAACAACAGAAGAACTCCGAAGCATTACACAAAAAAAGGTTTTCACGCCTCTTGCCTAAGTCACGGATCAATCTAGTTCACTCACTCCACAGATAACACACACACACACACACACACCGCAGTCAATCTTCTGGTCCATGTCCCCCTCCTCTATTACTTCCTCCCCTCAAGCCACTTTTAGCATAATTTTTCCTGGTAATTATGGTTTCCCCCCCACTATTGTACTAAAATATATGTTCCGGTGGAGTGACATTATAACACTTATTAGTGGAAATGACTTCAAAGCTATTGTGTCTGCTTCAGAAAAGTTCTCCCTCTGCCTTTTAGCTAAATGGAGGGGAAGGGATTTGCATACCAAAAATAAAAAAAGACATTATTGGCTCTTTTTTTAAAAAAGGCTATTTTTCATTGCTCGGTGACATTGCTCTAAATGATCACACCTCTCTGTTCACAATTAACGTTCCTGCATAACTGGCAATGTGGGCCTGCAAATTTTGGACTGCCTTTATAAAAGCAAAAAGCCCACACAAAGGATCTTAACGCTGAATCCCCTGGAGGTTTTCCAGGCAGTTTGCCAACTCAAGGTCATCTTAAACAGTGGCTTAACCACCCATGTCTCCTACAGGCCTGTGTAAACACAAAGGAGCAAAGACACAGGCCTTCGAAATTCACCCTGCTTTTTTTTGAATGACCTTGGACTGTGATAGAAGTAGAATAGACAGTGAAGAGCGTTCCATCAAGGGACCCCGCCAAGCAGCATTTGCTGGACCTGAAGCTCTTGGAGATGACAATAGGGTGGCTCTTCTAGAAGAAGAAGCGTTTCTTTTGAAATTCAATTTCTTTTGACTTTGCATTCCTAGGGATTCAAAGAAATGGAAAGAGAATTGGGGGGGGGGGGTGAAGCAATGACGATGCCTGAGGTTTATGAGAGGAGTCCCATGAAGGGAGATGCAAGTCATGCACAGATGATCAAAGCCGGTTCTCTCATTTCCAAGTGCAGGAGCACAAAACATCTGCATGAAAACAACTAAGTTCAGAGAGCATCAAGGACCTCATTCTCCTCCTCCTCCTCCTCCTCCTCTTCCTCCTCCTCCTCCCTTCCATTCCGCAAACCTCCCTCCCTTCCAGCACTGATGATGGAACCTAGTTTGGGTAATGAAACATCTGCAAGAAAACAACCAATTTCAGAGAACACCAAGGATCCCACGGAATGTTTTCTTGGTTCCAAGGAAAAACATTCAACTTGCTACCTTTAAAATATTTCAGCACCTCCACCGCCAGCAGTGGGAAGGAACTCGGAATGTTTGGCAGATTACAATTCTTTGGCTTAGTTCACACGTTATATCCTATACCATAGGAAATACTTGAACTCGTAAAGTTATCCTACAGTATAAGATACAAGTCTACACAATTCTGAGAGCTGCATAAAAGTTTGTGTCCAAGCACATCTGCAAACCTAGCCTTGGAGTTTCACCATTCTTTGAATTCATCCAATAGATCAAACGGTTCATTTCGACGTTTGTAATTTTAAAATGCCTATTTTTTTTAAAAAAAAGAGCTGGGCTTTTGACACAGATGCCTTTCTGGATCAGAGTAAGAAGAACACATGCCTCATGGCAGGGGTCTCCAACCTTGGCAACTTTAAGACTTATGGACTTCAACTCCCAGAATTCCTCAGCCAGCTTTCAATTCTGGGAGTTGAAGTCCACAAGTCTTAAAGTTGCCAAGGTTGAAGATTTAGGATATCTTCTGTTAGAACTGTAGGTTCAGCTTTATGGAATCCCTGTTTGTAGGACAGCACAAAGAAGGGAGTTTATGTGAAATAACATAAGAAATCACTTCTAGAAATCTCTTTGGAAGTTCAGAGCCATTCTTGAGATCCTACACTTAGTTATTGGGAATTCAGCTCACTGTTTTCAGCACCACGGTGAAATCAGAATTGGTTTCCTAAGTAGCTCCCAAACAATGAAAATGTGGCTGGATGTTGGGTTGGGTTTACTGATGGCAAGCAGACTGCAACATGCTTTTTTTTTTCTTAGCTGGGACTGGCTTGTTGTAAGAGACACAAGCCAAGGATTCTGGTTTGGCTATAATGGAAAACAAACCACAGATGGGGCCATCTGGACTTCTTCACTGTCATCTGTCAACATTAGCCAAATCAGAGCAAGGCTGAAGAACTATTTGGACACAGTCACTGTGCACATTTAAATCCAAGGATCACAGTTGAAACTGAAATACATTTAGCTCTCACCACCCCGTTCAGCAAAGTCTCCAATTCAGCCTCAGAAAATCAAATTTAAAAGGTCAAACATCTGTAAATTCTTCTCTCGCTTCATTGTGTTTCTTTTTCAGCACCCCCTTTTTAAACAAAATAAATTAATCTCAGTGTCCAAGTGCGGAAGAGAAAATATTAAATCAAGAGCAATAGAGAGAAAAAAAGGCACAGAGCTAATTTGGGTTCTTCCATATATATATATATGCCTCTCCCAGCGGAATATATTATAAATATACTATATAATATACTATAAATCTCTGAGTCCTCATTTGCATTGAATATGCCTTTGCTGCAGATCAAAGTGGGAAGAAGCAGAAAATAGTCAGAATTTGGGGAAGGGAATGAGAGGACACGTTACAGTTCTGGTTCCAGCAAGGAAAGGGTTAGCCCAGAATTGGAATCTACCACTGATGATCATGGCTAAATACAGATATGTGGGTGAAGAAGTATGTTCTGCAGAAAACGCCACCAATCCTTTGCATGCAATGTGATGTTCAGATGTGCGGCGCATCTGGGAGGCATGCCTCAATAAACAGGACATAAAAGAAGATTGCCTTTTCTTCATTGGAAAGCATGCTCCCTTTGTGTCAGCATGAAAGAGCACCCGTCTCAAGGGAGCCAGCTGGCTGCTGTTATTTTTCCCAGAATGCCTTCTCTGGTCTGGAGCCCCCCGGAGGGCATTCTGGGTGATTAGTACAGCAAGGGACAGTCAGCTATCTCAGGAAATTCTCTCTGGTTTTAGCCAAAGGAAAAGGCTACTTAAAAGTTTAAGAGACAATCCGTGTACATTTAGTGACTTCGACTGCCCCTTGAAAAGTGAAGTTTGATTTTTGCACCCTTTGATAAAGTGGGCCACCTTCTCTCCATCTGATTCTTGTAAAACAAACTACTACTTCTTCTTCTTCTTTTAAAAAAGGCACATATATTTATCAGCTTTTTCGTTTTTTCTCAGGTCAAAAACATTCTGAAGCTTCCATTGCAAGGAGTCTATAAAGTTGCGCAACCATTTTTTTAAACGGTTGGGGACGCTGATTAGCTGAGCAGCCCAAGGAATAAAGTGGGTCACTTACAACTTCTCTTTCTCTCTGGGGTAGCAATATTCTGATTCGAATGGAAATGTACTGAAAATGTTCCTTTTCCAGTGCCGACACAAAACTAGAAAAATGTACAGATGTTTAAAAGGCAGTGATGGCTCAACCAGACCTTCTCCGCCCATTTTCGATGGCAACCTTGGTCACGATGACCTTCGCACCATTTTTCAACCCTGCTAAAAAGTGGAAAAAGTTATAGAATGTTGGGTGAGATCATCCCGTGCTCTGTCCCTCGCAACTGCACACATACACACAAAACACACGCGCAATGCCCCGTCCCAACTCCCATACCAAAATGGAACTAGATTTCCCCCCAAATAGTTCAGAAAAGCAATGCTGGTGTCTTAAGAACTGTAATGTTGTGGTTGCATCAGTGTTGGGTACAAGTCAGAATGGGCATCCAAACGGTGACGTGCGCAAATGATGGAGCTATCTAACTCTTACTCAGCCTCTCACTCTGATTTGGGATCTAGCTCTTGTTCAGCACGCGATGTCAACTTGATGTCACCGTGGCTTGTACCAGGCCCATCTACTGGCTTGCCCATTTCAACAGTTGTTGAGGTTGGGCCTTTTGGACTGGCAGCTGGAGACAATAAAGCTGAAGCAGTTCTGGCAGGGCTTCCTCTGATAGGAGAGAGAAAGAGATGGAGAGCTTGAAAAAGGACTGCATAGCACCTTGTGGTCGCCTTTTAAGCTTGTATTGCAGAGGTTACTCCAACGGTGCTTCAGTTTCAGATAGCACTTATTTTTGGAAACAGCTGTGGCTTGCTTCTGCTCTTCCCTCCCTCATTGGGAATTGTTTTTCATGGGTTTGCCTATCCACCCAAGGACAGACATCTGCTCTGCTCTCCAATGAAAGACCAGGTCCCCAGACACTGGCAGCTTTGCCCATCTGTTATGTCTCCAGCCATGGCATTTGATCCAACGATGATCCACTTGGCGTTACCATTTCTCACTCCAGATTGGTCTTTATTCTTTCTCCCCCCTCGTCTTGGTTCATCTGCTTTGGAGAAAAGGACCAACATCCTCTTCCTCCGGAGAAGCTCCTGGAACGTAAATGGTAGATTTGGAAAGAGCTGTGGACTCGGTTTTGCTTAGAACCTTCCCAGAACATGTCGGTATGTATATATTACATATTTCATAAATATCTTCCTTCCAAAAGGACCTTTGGGTTAGCCAGTCCAGCTTTCTAATCCCTATAAAACAGATTCCATGTTTTCGCACCACTCGTGGTCTTCAAGGTTGTAGATAAATTTTGTCCTATGAGAGGGATTCTGCCCAAGGGGGTCTCGTCCTGGGTTGTCCAGGGTCAAAGTGGAGGCAAAGAACTCAGCAGTGCTGAGTCCACCTTCGTGGTTCTTGATGTATTTCTTATAGTTTTTCCTCAGGCACTGCCAGGTAGTAGTGTACAGGAGGAATGCAAGTGACTTTAGGGTAATAGCAATGCTCACGTACAGGTGCCTGTAGACAACATTGTCATATAGGGCGCATGCTCCTTGTTCACCACAGAAGGTGCTCCAGAAAAGGCAGGTGGAATCAATTCCTGCTCCAAAGATCAAGGGAGGTGGGATAAAGCCTGTGGAAGGTAGAAGGAGATATTTTTTATATCAGCAGTATTCTCTGAAACATCTATACTCTCTACAAACTTAAGAGGAACATCTGGTGGATCCAAGATCTCTTGCAGTCCACCATTCTGTTGTCCCAGAAGCCAAAGAGATGGCTTCCAGAAGTCAATGCAGAAACATCTCACTCTTATTCTCCAGCAAGGGATTTTTTTAAGAGGCAGGTCACCACCGAAAACTAAGAGCACTGATGCTGTTCTGGAAATATTGACATTATACCATTGTTGAAATCAAGTTCCTATAGATCTGACAAGGGAAAGATATAGTTACAGACCTAGTATTTGAATGTGTATAATATGAAATTTGGCTAGTGGGTAAGTTTGGTTAGTTTTCTATAGTGTAAGGTGTTGTGAGAAAACAATACGTTGGTTAGTTTAGAGTTCAGTCTAGGCAAATCCAGAAAATTCAGAATGGGTTCAGAGAATTCAGATGTATGAGCTGACATCCTATTCATACAGTATTGATCTCTACAGAACTTGCACCAAGGGGAAGAACCGACCACTGCAAAAACGACCCACTTGTGACATAACACAAAACATTTGGAGGACACTCGGTGGAAGAAGGCTGTTTTAGTCTCCAGCTGGACCAAATCTGGGTCCATCATCCAGATCCATCTCTCATCAGGAGTCCCTGCTTCTCTGGAGGAGCAGAGGGAAGCAAAAGGAGGCATGAATTTCACTCACCTAACAATCGGAGGAGAAGGAAGAGAACTCCTAAAGCGTATGATTTGAGCTCCGGGCTCACAGTTCTGTATGGAAGAGATATTCAAGCAAATATCATTAAGATTATAGCTTAGTTTAGCTTAGTTTAGCTTAGACAGACAGATACTGTAGATAGATAGATAGATAGACAGACAGACAGACAGACAGACAGACAGACAGACAGACAGACAGACAGACAGACAGACAGACAGACAGACAGACATTATAGATAGATGAGAGAGAGAGACAGATAGACAGATACTATAGATAAATACCATAGATAGATTAGATGGTTAGGCAGGCAGACAGACAAATAAATTTCAATCAGATTCCTATCATTTTTTTAGTTCCTGGCTTCCAAAGCAGGAGAAAATCCAGATCCATCTCTCAATTTAAATAATAAATTTAAATAATAAATAAATAAAACCTTCTGCAGCAGAAAAAGAAGCTGTGTAATTGTGTGCGGTTTTTTTTATGTGTGCGTGTGTGTGTGTGCATGTGTGTGTGTGTGTGTGAGAGAGAGAGAGAGGCTCAGATAGAGGGATTTTAGTCCTTAGGAGTTGTGAAGGAATGTGGACCCAAAACCGGGAATGGGGAAGCGATGAGGCAACCACGAAAGGGCGACTTTCAGAACATATTTCTCAGTCCGGAGAAAGAAGAAACCCCAAGACAGACGTTCCAAGTTTTGTCTTCCTGGTAGGCTTTCAAGATTTTGTTCTTCTAACTTGCAGCCTTAAACAGCCTCCTCGGAGTCCCTGCTGTGCTTGTTTTTTGACCTTGCCTGCCTCAGAGGGCTGAGGGATGCCTTGCTCTTGAACGAGAAAAGTTAATTTTTGAAGCGGCTGCAGCCGAGAAGATAAAAAGGCGGAATCAAGCGCCGAGCTCTGCTGTGAAGTGGGCCAGGCAGCACCTTCAGAGGACATACTAATTATAGCTTCTCCCGGGTCTCTTTCATCTGTTGGAAACCCCACATTACAAAGGCACTGAGGCTGATCCAAGGCAAGAAAAAGGCTGTGCACCAGGCTGGGATTAAATAGAAAATGGCGCCAACAATTAGCCTGCCAGGGAGATTCAAACTGGTAGGGCAGAGGAAGCCTCACCTGATGAGGATGATGACGGAGGGAGTTTGGGCCATGGCTCCAATCATGCTGCAGACGCACATCACGCAGAGGAATGTCAGGAAGGCTTCTTGGCATCCAGGGCTCGGGCACTTCCCAGGAACGACTGTGGTATCCCCGGCCGGGGCCAAGGTGAGGCAGGTGCAACCGGTGAGATTCTAGGACAGAAGGCAAGAGACGGTTGAGGCAGCAGATCCTGTTGCGTATCATCTCGCAGATGACCTTGAGGGACACAGGTTGAATATAGTGGTGGCTAGATCCTAGACCAGGGGTAGGCAACCTCGGCTCTTTTAGGACTCATGGACTTCAACTCCCAGAATTCCTGAGTCAGCTATGCTGACTCAGGAATTCTGGGAGTTGAAGTCCATGAGTCCTAAAAGAGCCGAGGTTGCCTACCCCTGTCCTAGACCATACTTGGACAACCGCTGCTCTAGACAAAGACTGATGACGTTACCTAGTTTGGGTAATGCAGGAAAACAACTAAGCTCAGAGAGCACCAAGGATCCCATAGTCCTCCTCTTCTCACACACCCCACTCCCTTCTAGCACTGATGATGTT